CCCCACCCCCAGTTCTTGATGTGGTAGCTTATTTCATTGATTTGTATGGCTTACCTTTATTATGATCAAATTAACATAGCAGATTTGAAGCATAGCTACCAAAACTTACACATTCATCTGATCTTGTGACCCAAGGAGTGTTTGCCTTTGGGTGGTGTCCATTTATGGTCTTGAATCACTTGTGTGCCTGCTGTGTTCCAGGCCCAGGCATAATGCTGGGGTACCAGAGGGTCCCCACCCCCACCAGCAGCCAACTTAACAGGAAAAATGAATAGATAAATCTGCCAATTTGGGCCTGCCTTGAGATAAGTGGAGCCTCCAGTGTTACATTTACAAACACGGACGAGCTTGCTTCAGGTTGCTTCCAAGCTCTGCACCAATTTGAACATGTAGAGGGGAGGGCAGTGGGTATGACCTTCCAGCACCACTCAGAACATCTTTGGGCTTTTGGTTGCCTCCTAAACTTATGGCATACTCCTTTGAAATATGCTCAGTGGATGTTTTTAACGTGTCAAAGAGGACGTAGTTGGTGAAAATTTTGGAGTCTCTGGAGTCAAATCTAATGAAAAGGTGACTGGTAACTGATGAAATTAGATAATTGAGCTCAGATAGCAACATTTTCATAGTCACATTTTTCAGGCTTTAGGGTATTTTCAACATGGTGAGGAGATGAAAGTTAATCTTTGGAAGCCACATTGCAAACTAACCTTTCAATATTGACTATCACATGTTATACACAGTGAAGTTTGCATCTCTTGGTTTTTGTGTATGTAATTAATATGTGTTTGTGATAGCATGCTATTTTTTTTCTTTACATGATTATACAACATATTTGGAAGTTTTAAGCCTGTGTTTTCTTTAGTCTGATAATGATTTGCATCCATGTACTGCACCTTACAGCAGATCCCGAGTGCCATCACTGGCACACTCAGCCCCCAGGGAATCGTGTTGCCTGCATCTGCCCTGCAACAGGGAAACGTAACCATGGCAACAGTGGCAGGTATGTGTGAAGTACTAATGAACAACTTATGCCTGGAAAAAGTCCTTTATAATTGAACTAAGAAATGTATAAATGTAATTTTTATTTGATGCCTTGGCATTCCTGATAAGCAGTACTGAAATCCCAAACTCTTTGAGTGCCTGTTTCTTGTTAATTCTCAATAACAAATATTTTATATGAGTTGTTTGGTTCTTACCAACGAAACATTGAAGGTGGGTGTAGAGTTTTGTAGAAGAGCTAAAACTGTGTGTTGTTGTTGTTGTTAAGTGCTGTCGAGTCAATTATAACCCACAGCGACCCTGTATAGAATTTCCAAGGGAGTGGCTGATGAGTTTGAACAACTGACTTTGATGTTCAAATCGACTTTGCAGGCCAACACATTAACCCACAGTGCCAAAGCAGGACACCAAAAGTACATAGCAAAGCTAATTGTAATTTTCATAGAACATATTTTACCAGTGTTTCTTACAGCATCTGGAAAATCTCAAGTTGTATCATTAATTGATGGCAATCACATAAACCTGCAGTCTTAGTTAAACATTTTTGTTAAACTCTATATGTTGTTGTTGTTAAGTGCCGTCAAGTCGGTTCCGACCCATAGCAACCCTGTATAGGGTTTCCAGGGAGCAGCTGGTGAGCTTGAACCGCCAACCTTACAGCTCAAACGGCTTTGCAGTCTTGGCTCATTAACCCACAGTGCCACGACCAGGACTCCAAACTCTATATAGCACAGCTCAATGAGAGCTGTTCCTTGGGATTCTGGGCCATCTGGGTTTGGAATATTTGTGTCATGCCTTATCCCCAAACCACATCACCTTTCAGATGGGCTCACATGCCCAGTCTTGGATGTTTGCTGGGATTCCTCTACCATAATTTTCCTCTACTCTATGAAGAAGGGGTGAAGGAAAAGAAGGAGGAAATGGAGTGGCAAAGCTGGAGAGAGGTGTGACTAGCCAAGGAGTTTGCCTGAGGTAGCTTAGATACCAGATACTAAAGGCATTGGATCAAAAAAAGTACTTTGTTATGATATAATTTTTAATCAGTTGAGCTTTCTTCTTCCTCTAGAATTTCCCTTTGTGGTATTTTGTCTTTTTTTTTTTTTCAAATGTAAATTTCTATCTCCTTTTTCCATCCCTCATTTCATTTTCATGGTGGTTTTGTTTTTGCAGTGTACTAGATGCAACAAGAAACTCTGGGATTCATCCCTTTCCTGTAATTGCTAGTGCTAACAAATGATGTGTCCACTGTAGGGAAAAGTAGAAAACAGAGGCAAGCAAGAGGAAGGAAATTCCCAAACCCACATAAATCAGTAGCTTCTTGTGTTAAGTAAAGAACTCCATGAGGTGTGGTATGTGGTGCCACACTAGTCATAGGCACTGATGTGCTCCTTGTCAAATGTTTTGTTTCAGTAATTGGTAGTGATGAGTTAAGTTGCAAATAGTATTGTCAGTCATGTGAAATGTTCAGATAGCTCCTCAAACTAGAGATTTTATTTCTTCCATCAGTGTATTGAAAAGAATGATTTATATAGTTACGACAGTAGCTTAAAAGTAATTTGGCTTGTTTCTGCTTTCTTTTTGAGGTGGCACAGTTTACCAGCCTGTCACAGTGGTCACTCCACAAGGTCAAGTAGTGACACAGGCGCTGTCGCCGGGGACAGTTAGGATCCAGAATTCACAGGTGTGTGCTCCATCTTTATAGGAGGTCTTCAGGGGTGTATGTGTGTGTGCGCGCACAGATGTGAGAAGTGCAAGTAGACCCAAACTTGCCATGTCCTCTTCATGATGGTCATGTATGTCAGGCTGATTGCCATACAGCAGTTTTCCCTTGCTCGAAATGTTAATGTTTTATATGCGTTGTTTGGTTCTTTCCATTTTTACTTTTCATCTCCCTCATTATAGAAGTTTACAGAGTTCAGAAACAAGAACACAGCCAACACTCCCCAGCAGCAACTACTATTGTTAAACATCTGTGTCTGCATTGGGTGGTGACTTTACCGTTGAGGGTCTGGAGACTGAAGGTCATATGAATGGGCCCTTTATTGGACCCACCTGGAGGCTCTCAAAGAGTCATTTTGGTGAGTTGTCCAATGGTTCCAGGCCCCACCCAGACCTCCAGGATGAGAATATGGGTGAGCACAGGCCTGTGTGCTTTGTTAAGCTTTCCAGGGCCATTTGATGTGCCTTTCCTGAGCCAAAGCTGGCTAGGGGCTAGTCCTAGATATGTTCTTGAACACTTCATTAACAAGCAAAAAACCTGAAGAAAAAAACTTTAAAGTAATGACTCTCAGTCTCCTTTTCATGTTGCCAGGTGTGGAGCCTTGCTCAGACTCAGAATCTCCTCCCTATACCCTTGTTGCAAGTGTCAAGCACCAAAAAAAGAGGGGAAGGGTTTCACATAATGAACCTCACCAGAAGAAGGCACAGGGCTGGAAAATCCTGGACCATGCCTATGGCCTGCCCTCTCTGAGTGCCTTAACAGTCAAATGAGGAGACTGAACGTGCACTGTCCAGCCCTTTACATTCTGGTATACACACACATATCTGTATATATTTGAGGTTCAAATCAGAAAGACAATGTTTATGTTATTCTTATTTTAAGAGCATTTCTTCATTCTTTATGTTAGTTTTTTGTCTTTGACCAGTACACTCTCTGTATCCTTGCTGAAAGCTTTAGGACTGTTGGCATTTTACTCAATAAGATACAGATAATAGGATTTGATATAAACAGACTAGTGATCACATCTGACATTATCACAGGTTTAGTTCTACAAAGTCTACAGAAGGCAAAGGGTGCTAATGCTGGGGAAGAAGGATTGGGACCTGCTGATGGAGTGGGGGGCTTCATGGATCATTTGAATGCTTGAGGGCTGGAATGTTAAGTGACTTCCTCCTGTTCATCTTCTTCCCTTTTGTCTCCCTCCAATCTCTCCTTCCTACTTCCCCCTCCTCCTTTTCCTCTTCAGCTTTTTGCATAAGTTTGAGTTCTTAACGTGCTTTAGATAATGAGAGATTTCTGAGTCTTTGTCTCAGAAACTATCAAGGTTGGCTTTATCAAGGAAATTGGTAGTTGTCCATTATGGGTCACAGTGCCACTTTTTCTTAGAGCACTCTGTCACAGGTGATTGTCATATCATTGTTGTTGTTAAGTGCCATGGAGTCGGTTCCGACTCATAGCGACCCTGCACAGGGTTTCCGAGGCTGTAAATCTTCACGGGAGCAGAATGCCTCATCTTTCTCCCGCGGAACCACTGGTAGTTTTGAACTGCTGACCTTGCGGTTCACAGCCCGATTCGTAACCACTACGCTACCAGAGCTCATTACTAGTAGTAATTGTGAGAGTGGTGGTGGTGGTAGTAGTGGCAGTGAACGTGTGGGTGGTGAAGGTGACATTGGAGAGTAGTGGAGATGTGGATGGAGGTAGGGAGGCTGGTGGTGGTCGTGCCTTGAATGGAGTCATATAAACCCTTGTAGCCTGGGTCCTATATCGTTTCTCAACCTGCTGTACAGGGTGGATCCCTGTCTAGGGACTGACCAGGTCACATGGACTCACATGGTCTAGGGTGCATCCATGGGAGTAGTTTTCACCCAGCATTGTCATGCTCCTCCAGGAGAGAACCATGTATGGCAGGGGTGGGAAACCTTTTTCTGCCAAGGGCCATTTAAATGTTTATAACATCATTTGCGGGCCAAACAAAATTACCAACTTAAAATTTAGCCTGCTATATTTGGTCAGTCTTTTAATTAACTCATCTCTAATGTGATGGCTCAGAGAATATCAGAAAGATGTTTGCCTGTGCTTTATTGACTACGCAAAGGCTTTCGATTGTGTGGATCATGACAAGCTATGGACAACATTGTGAAGTATGAGCATTCCAGAACACTTAATTGTGCTCATGAGGAATCTGTACTTGGCCAAGAAGCAGTTGTTCAAACAGAACATGGGAACACTGAATGTTTTAAAATTAAGAAAGGTGTGCGACAGGTTTGTATTCTTTCACGATATTTATTCAACCTGTATGCTGAGCAAATAATCTGAGAAGCTGGGTTCTATGAAGAAAAATGTGGCATCAGGATTGGAGGAAGACTCATTAACAACCTGCGATAATACAGATGATACAACCTTGCTTGCTGAAAGTGAAGAGGACTTAAAACATTTACTGATGAAGATCAAAGAGCACATCCTTCAGTTAGGATTACATCTCAATAAAGAAAACAAAAATCCTTACCACTGGACCAATAAAAAACATTTTTATCAATGGAGAAAAGATTGAAGTTGTCAAGGACTTCAGTCTTCTTGGATCAACCATCAACACTCAAGGAAGCAGCAGTCTAGAAATCAAGCAATGGATTGCATTAGGCAAATCTGCTGCACAAGACCTTTTGAAAGTGTTGAAGAACAAAGATGTCAGCTTAAAGACTAAGGTGTGCCTGACCCAAGCCATGGTATTTTCAGTAACGTTATATGCATACAAAAGCTGGACAGACCATAGAAGAATTGATGCTTTTGAGTTATGGTGTTGGAGGAGAATATTGAAAGTGCCATGAGCTGCTGACAGAACCAATAGATCTGTTTTGGAAGAAGTGCAGCCAGAATAGAATGCTCCTTGGAGGCCAACATGGCCAAACTTCGTCTCTCATACTTTGGACATATTGTCAGGAAAGACCAGTTGCTGGAGGAGGATATCATATTTGGCAAGGTGTAGGGTCAGAGAAAAAGAGGAAGACCCCCAATGAGATGGATTGGCCAAGAGGCAGCATTGATGGACTCAAGCGTGGCAACAGTAGTGATGTTGGCCCAGATCGGGCAGTGTTTTGTTCTGCTGTGCATAGGGTTGCTATGAGTCGGTATCGACTCGATGGCACCTAACAACAACAGCAATGTGATGGCTGGGACTGCAGTTGGCTTGGCAGAGTCAAACCAAATGACCCCTAATCTATGACAACTTTACTAAAAAGTCTCATTCTACTTGTAGTATAATCCATTAAAATTTGGAGAGGATGAGATTTCATTGATTTTCTTTCCCTCCATTCCTTTCCCAGTGGTCTTATTTATACAATTGTTACATGTATATTTTAGTTTTGTGCTATGGGTTGGGCCTCCTTTTTACTGTTTGCAATAATTTAATCTTGTTATCACATTGATACATGTTATAACTCAAAATAGCAAATAGAAGCAAAATGTTATGATAAATTATAACCACTCTCTGTTCTACCTTTCATATACCCTTCCGCTCCTATGAGGCAACCAGTCTCAAATAGTTTAGCCTTTTCTTCTGCTGGTTGTGCCCATGTTTCTAAGTATAAATGTTGTTGTTGTTGTTGTTGTTAAGCACTGTCAAGTGGATTCTGACTCACAGAGACCTCATATGACAGAATAGAATTGCCCCATGTGGCTTTCTAAGCTGTAATGTATATAAGTACAGATCACCAATTCTTTTCCTTTTCATATAGAAATGTGCTTATGAGCTAGTCTTTTCTCAGTAACTTGAGGGAGTTGCTATCGTTAGTGGCTACTGAAGTAGTCAGCCTTAGCCTCTCTGCCTTTTAATCCCTTTTTGTCTGCTTTTTGGTTTTCTTATTTCTTTCCTCTCTGTTGAATGTGTATGCCCTAAAGTTAATGCTGCTATCTAGCTTTCCTTGCCATGCGTATTTGTTGCTTGGCAAGGAAAATCTGTAAGAGGCTAAGAACTCAAAGGTTGTCACATACTTCCTTAAAGGAAACACGGGTCAAAGTACCCAGTAAATGGCAGGACCAGGGAATGCACTTGTCTGCTTTAAGGCCCTGGCCTCTGCAGTGCCCCAAGGCCATCCTTTTCCATCAGCCTCCAGGTAGGGGTGTCTGTCTGCTGGAGGCACTGATGTAAGAGGTTATAATACTGAAAGGAAACCTGTCCTTGGGAAGCTGGCCTGTAAAAGACATTGGCATATATAACATAAATGTGGTCAGTTAATTATTCCTGAGGTGCTTGTCACTATTTCCAGCTCAAGTCAAAAGCTAATTGGATATGTTGTGATGCTCTTTTGCTTTCAAATGGTATTTTTTTGTTGTTTAACAGCTTCAGCTACAATTAAATCAGGATCTCAGCATCCTACATCCAGATGACGGCTCATCTAAGAATAAGCGTGGTGTCCTGCCAAAGCATGCCACAAATGTGATGCGGTCGTGGCTTTTCCAGCACATTGGGGTAAGAGCATTACAAGTGGCTGGTGAGAACCTGTGGTAAGGTCTCTCTTGGGCTTGTGCATCGCAGGAGATTTTTCTTTAGATGGACCTGCAGACCCCATCTTAGCACTAGCATATTGTTGTAGGTCCATAGCATGAGTAGCATGGATATGTGTCTCAAGAAACTTGAAACATTACAAGAGAGAACACTAGTGAACAGGGTAGGAGCAGTTCCTGTTAACTGTATAAACAAATGTGAGAGAAACTCTGGTGTAAGTAGGTAGGTAGTAGTAGAAATAGAAATGATACATTTGACCAAAGTCTTGAAAATATTGGTAAGAAAGGCAGCTGCAGTGGCTTTAAATTGACATAGATAGAAATGAGTATGTTGATGGGCATCACGTGGTTTGATAACTTGAAACTTCTTTTGACCCAGAAAGTCACACCAATTATTGGTTCAGTGGGTATGCCAATGTGTACCTGTTTCCCTACTTGGGCTGTAAGCTGCTCATGGAGGAGTCATCTCCGGAGGGCAATGATAGCTCCGGACTGCAAACATACTAACTTGGGTGTGGGGAGCAAGCATTGTCACTTCCATCCCTGGTCCCTGTGTGATGGCAGGGTCAGAATGAACATCTCAGCTCTCTGGGGAGGAGGGTATGGTGAAGCCCAGGCAAGCTGCCTACTAGTTACAATCTATGCCTGTGAAGGGGAAGACAGAAGACCAAGGGACATCTGTGCTGAGACCCAAGAGGCCACTTTCATGGTTAAAGTCTCTCCTGATGACCACTTTCTTTATCCCTATTGTACGACTGTCCATCAGGCACCTCTGTCTCCACCACCTGTTCTCCTGGGAATTCATGGGGTTGCTCACTCCTCAGCAGGCAGCTCAGCCATGTGGCCAGCCACCCCCAAGCTGGCAAGTGGACCTTTCTTTTTGAGTCATGCCTGAGACTTGCCTCTCCTCATGTCTTCTCCTGGCGCCACAGTCGCTTCTTAACTGGTATCGCCATCTATTCCTTTCCTCTGTTGTGCTGTGCCATCTCTCAAGTCCAGACCTGTGTGAGGTGAGGACTGGAGTGTGTCAGTCTCTCTCTTCCTTTGGGCTGCCCATTCCAGTTGTCTTGTGGCCCTCAAGGTGCTAGCCCTTGCCCAGTGTTAGACGGGTCCTTCCCTCCAAGTGGAGCTGGGTCAGAGCATGACTATGGGCAGTCCATACTGGCAGGGGAAGTGACACAGCAGTGCAGGTGAGGGGAAGGCACCCACACCAAGGCCCCATGCACCTCTCCTGAGCACTAGACCCCTTCCTTCCCAGCTTCTCCCCTCTCCCTGCTCCTTGTTCTTTCCTCACCACATCACCAGTTAAGGTAGGCAGCAGTAGAGGCTAAGAAAAAGAAGAGTGTTCTCCCTGAGCCACGGTGACCATCTTACACATATGTCCTGAAGAGACAATTCACTGAGAGACAAAACATTGTGTATTTAATAGTAGAGACTGAACTGGACTTTAGATGAGGACCTCTGAGTTTGAGGGAATGCTAGAATATCAGACCGCTATCTAAAGTGGTAGATGAGAGCTGCCCGCACTAGGCCACTAGGAAATGGTATTAAGTGACACAAGGGGAACACAGATATAGTCAGAGATAGGAGTGTTACAGCCAAGGAGTGCGTGTTAACAAAGGGCCTTACTCAGCACAAGTAAGCAGTGAGACTGGTGAGCCTGTTACCGTTCCCTTCCCTTTAATGTCTTAATAAGTTGCAAAACAATAAACCTTGCTCATGAGGGTCTGTTACAATGCCTTATTTTTTTCTGTAAAGCCTTTTCTATTTCTTCTTGACCTCATTTCTTTGAAATAATATCCCGCTTGTATTTTTCCTAATGCTCTTTGTTGTTAAGTGCCTTAGAGCAACTCTGTATAGGGTTTCTGAGGAGCAGCTGATGGGTTTGAACTGCTGACCTTGTGGTTCTGTCCATTGCTGATCCTACAGTGCCACACCAGGAGTCCTGTAAGGGAAAGGAACAATGCTTCTATTTCCATAGGCTCTAGCTTGGAGCCACACATTTATCTATGGAATCAGATTGAATTCCAATTTGGAGGGAAGACGAAGATTGCTGCTGAGAGAAATCCAGCTTTACCATGGTAACATGCAACAACTTTTCCAAAACATACTGAATGTTCACTTTAAAGACAAAAAACATGTAAATTTGCACCTCCTTATTTTGCCAGGCACCCTGGGCGTTATTAAGCAAATGGCTGCTAATTGAACCTGCAAGCCTCTCAGTAAGAGAAAGATATGATAGTATGCTGCCATACAGACAGCCTCAGAAACCCTATGGAGCAGTTCTACTCTGTCCTGTAGGATTGCTGTGGAATTAAAAGGATGGCAACAGGCTCATTCTGCCAGTACAGGGCCCAGCTAGTCGAAGACAAGAAAGTTCAGTATGTGTGGATATTTGAGTCAATGTCTTACTACTGTCTACATATGTAGACAGCAATGTAAATCTTGGAAAATTACTTACTGTCATAGATAGACGTTGTTTTCCTTTGGTAGTATTTTGAATGTTGTATAAAAGAGAGAATAGCATATGGATACCCTGCCCCAGCCTCTGGCATGGCTGCTCACTGACAGCCACACTAATCCATCAGAGACTTGTTCCAGAGAGCACAGCCCTCCCAGGTCAGTGTATTGTCAGTGATAGGAATGTGTCATCCCCCACACCCCGTGACAACCAGGACCAACTGCCTGGTGTAGGATGGGGGATGTTTGCAAACTCTCTGTACCATAGTATCCTCATCTGTGAACTAATGCCAACAGCATCTGCCTCAGGAGGTGACAGGAATCAGTGGGCTGGTAGAGGTTTCAAGGATGGTGGGGGGAGGGGCGCTCATCAATTTGAAGTGGATGCTGATTGTTGATAAATTATACCTAAGTAAAGTATGTGCTTATTGTTGTTAAGTGCTGTCAGTGGGTTCCTGTGTAGGGATTCCAAGGAGCAGCTGATGGGTTTGAACCACCGACTTGCAGTTAACAATCCAGTGCTTATCCTGTTGCGCCATACCAGAACACTCAGACCAGAAACTGACACAGTCAGCCCTCTAAGGTTGGCTGATCTCATCTCAGCCTTAACAGTTCCTGCAACATTAGTATGTTCTGGGGTGGCTCGTAGAATATTTCTTTCTGTTTGAAGCATTTCTTAAATAAAGACTAAAATTGGGTTTCTGATAAATCTCTGTTGATGCATACTTGTGATTACTTGTAGGCTTCCATTTTACCTTCTTGCAAAATGGAAGCTCATAACTACCTTTCTTTTTCTTTTTAGCACCCCTACCCTACAGAGGATGAGAAAAAACAGATTGCTGCTCAGACAAATCTGACACTACTACAGGTTAATAACTGGTAAGACGCCCAGCACTTGGAAATCCTGCCCATTGGTAGTGCAGTAGGGAGCACGTGGAACACTGATAGTAATCATCTTAATTTTTTACTCAAATACCACAAGTGGGTGCTTTTAGCAAACATTTATTTACTCACAGTTTAGGAAGCTTGAAGTCCAAGTTCAGGGCACTAGCTCTGGGTGAAGGTCCTTTGTCTCATTACAGCTTCGGATCCTTAACGCCTTGGTGATCTGTTGTGGCGTCCTTCTTCCCCCACCTCTGTTTGTGCTTCCTTTCGTACTCTGCTCTCTTAATCTCAGAAGATTGATTTGAGACACCCCCTACGTGAATGGCTCATTAACATAACAAAGAATCCCATTTTCAAATGGGGTAATAGCCACAGAATTTGGGTTTACAACACATTTTGGGGGGACACAATTCAATCTGTATCATTAAAAGTGAAACTTAGTGGAAAACATGAGTTCTTTTAACTAGCAACAATTCTGTTAAAGTGTATTGGAGTTGGTGCCAAGATGCCTAAGAACAAATCAAAACATACTTTCTATTTTCATTTTCCATGTGGGCTTTTCAACAGCATGCTGTTTGCCTGCCTAGGAAGGTTTCTGTGTCTTTTTACTGCCCCTGGGCCCCCATAGTCAGGCAAACAAACATGTGATGTCTTTGTGGATGAGCATCTTGGTAGTGAGCTGGGAACTCAATGGCTTGTCTTCTGGTGTATGTCACTTTTTTTTTTCCAACTAAAATGGAGGGGGCAGTGCTGAGGCCTCTTTCCAGCAGGGCTTGGAAGCCTAAGGGAAAAATGCCCAGGGGACAGTCACTCCCTGTATAAACATGCAGGTCTAGTGCTGGAGACCCACATGGTTGTGGACTCCTGGATCATGACCACTTACAAGAGTTTATAGACATTTCTAACTAACATTAAGGTTTAGAGATGGATCTACACTTTGCTCTTTAGTCATTTGTCTCACTTTAATATTTATTTTAACTATTTAAAATGCCAGTGTTGCAGGTGGAGTAAGCTCCAATACAAATGATAAAATCTTCTGACTTAAGTCATTACAAATATAGAAATACACTTTGGCATTGAATTAAATATGTCTACTACATTTCAACTCCTTTTTAATTTGAGCAGCAATACTGTCTGTCTTAGTTGTCTAGTGCTGTTATAACAGAAATACCCCAAGTGGAGAGATTTCTTCTCTCCCAGTTTAAGAAACTAGAAGTCCAAATTCAGGGTGCCAGCTCTAGAAGGCTTTCTCTGTGTCATCTGGGGAGGATGGTCCTTATCTCCTTTCAACAGCTCTGGGCCCAGTGTCTCTTGGAGAGCTCCTTGTGTATTGACATCAGCCTTCCCTGGGTCTAGGAAGTTCTCAATGTAGGGAACCCCAGTCCAAAGGACACACGCTCCACTCCCAGCTCTTTGTTCTTGGTGGTAGTCAGATTTACCCCTATTTCTGATCACCTCTCTTTCCTTTTATCTCTTGGGAAATAAAAGGCAAGGTAGACCACACCCTAGGAAACTCCCTCATATCGGATCAAGGCTGTGACTTGAGTAAGATTGTCGTAGCCTGTCCTAATCCCCTTCCAGCTGGTTGGCTGATCATTACATCATGGGTGATGATTTCATCATTACACGCTGCCGGAATGCATCATTATATAACTGCCAAAGCCATAAAGAATCATGGCCTAGTCAATTTGACATATATTTTTGAGGGAGACTATTCAATCCATAGGAGTCCTTGTGTGGCGCTGTGAGTTAATACACTAAACTGCAAGGTCAGTTTGAAACCGCAAAGTTGGCTGTTCAAGCTCCCCAGCCACTCCTGTGAAACCCTACACAGGGTCACTGTGAGGTGGAACTGTCTCTACTGCACTTAGCATTCAATCCATAACACTGTAATGTGCTAACAGATATTTGCTGTTATGTTGTTTGTAATATATTGAGCATGTCCTTGGATGTTTTCATGTAGTTTTATGCTAATACTTAATATTTTGGTTTAATCAGAATAGTGTTTGATTGATTTGATTGGGGGTTGAATGTTAGACACAGAGGGATGTCTTTGGTCATTCTTATGCCAACATTCAGTATTGTCCTTATCTTTCTTTGCTTATGACATCCCTGTATTCCCTGAGTTGTCCCTTATTGTTAACAAAATTGCCTAAAAAATTTAACGTCAACTTTTAATTAAAAAAATTAATAATTATTTAATCACTTTTTAAATTTTGTAGCTACTTTTGTGACTTTTTTTTTCCTTTTGTATTCTCAAAAATTACAGCTTGGAATGAGCTTATGCCTTTGCCTTATTGTTGTAAGTGCTGTCAAGTCCATTTCAACTCATAGCAACCATGTGTAGGGTTTCCAGGGTTTGAACTGCTGACCTTGCCTTCCAAACTCCAGTTGGTGGGAGATTGAGCCACTTTTTTCTCCCAGAGATTTGTTTTCCAGGGCAAACCTGTTGCTCTATGGGTCAAACATTAACGCTACATGAAACATTGTGTGATATTCATTTAGTTCGTTTATATTATGAGAATGTGACCAAGTGAAAGACATACTTGAATCGGAGAACTTTAAACTTGACTCAGTCCTAGTCCTGGATCTTCCCTTTGCAGAGGTGGGCACTAGGGATGAGAGATGTTATCAAACTAGAGTAGAACCTGAGTCTGAAGCAGTGCTTCCATCTCCACTGTTCCATGAGCAGGGCTGCCCACCCAGTGATCCGCGAAGGCCCAGCTTTTAAGAGTTTAGCAAGAGGTTAGCTGGTTTATCACACTGCTGAACACCAAACAGAGAAATCACTTCTGCTGCTGTGTTAGTATAGCTCTTTCTTCACTGATTTAGGGATAATGTATGAATATGAATAGGTTTTGACTTGATGGAGCTTTTATGGGATGCCTTGTTTCCTTCCATTGCAATTTCATTTGTGTAGCAAAGCAGCCATCTGGTGTGGGTTGAGCAGGTACAGTAAGCGTGCACATCTTGAACTTTATCTGCTGCTACTGTAGCTGCAGGAGCATTTGGACCTCCCTTGTTGCCTTTTGCCTTCCCTCACTTCCCCACAATCAAAGGCAACAGCTGGGGACAAGGGAGGGATAGAAACGGAAGAAAGCAGTCTTTTATCTCAACATATTATAGAGCTATCATCCACATTTATATGGAGTGCTGTAAGATAAGCTCTGGACTGAAAGGTCAGTGGTTCAAGCCCACCAGCTGTTCTTTGGATATCCTATACAGGGTTGCTATGAGTCAGAACCAACTCAAGGGCACTTAACAACAACAACAACAATGTTCAGGCTAAGCTGCTAGCTTGTCCATTTTGCTGCTGTCTTTGTTATGTGGGTTGTTATTACAGGAGTGGGTTCTTAGGCTTTAAAAGTGGCTAAAATCAATGAAGAATCTCATCACTGTCAGGAGCCAGGTACACCTGATGCTAACAAGGTATTTGGGTCAGTTGAGTAACTTAAAACTTGGGTCTCCAAGATATAGTTCATCATTTGGAATTTTTTCTGAGAAGGTAAACTCCTTAACTCAGATCCTGCTTTGGGGTGGACCCACCTGGAGGTAGCCCTCAGATATTGCCCTGATTGGCTCTGACATACCCTGATGGAGCTTTTCAGATTACTGCCATTTGCTTAAATGTTCCCATCAGACATTATGAGACTGCATATGGTTTTGCTGTTTTAATGTGTTTCTCTTTAGAAGCATCTAAGGGATTTGTTGTTAAGTGCCATCAAGTTGGTTCCAAACTCATAGCAACCCTGTTTAGGGTTTCCAAGTAGCAACTGGTGGTGGCTTTGAACCACCAGCTGTGCAGTTAGCAGTTCAGTGCTTGTCCTATAGCTTCACACCAAGACTCCACAAGGAATTTGCAGTCATGGAATAAATAAGTTGAAGTTAAAAAAACGTACATGAAGCAGTTAGTCTTATTGAAAAGATTGTGTCTTTTGTTTTTCTGGGCAGTTAGTTATATGCTTGTCATTACTCTCAAATACAAATTATACTCAAGAATTCGAGTTATCCATGTTATTTATTAAGAAACTTGTTTGTTGATAAGGCAGGGGGCCTTTGAAAAGGTGTTTTATTGTAAACTTGCCCTTTGTTGGTGCTTAGGTTCATCAATGCTAGACGAAGGATTCTTCAGCCAATGTTGGACTCCAGCTGTTCAGAAACTCCAAAAACAAAGAAAAAAACTGCTCAGAACCGACCAGTTCAGAGGTTCTGGCCCGACTCCATTGCATCAGGAGTTGCCCAGGCAGCGCCGAATGAGCTCACCATGTCAGAAGGTATGGGCAAGGGCCCACAGGGCCAAGTGACCTAATTTCAGGGTACACCTCATGTCACATAGTGAAGGGCACATGTCACATCACATGGTGAGAAAGGGTATGTCTCATAGTGAAAGTGCACAGGTGGAATATTTCCTGACCTTCCCCCTCCTTCCAGAACACCAGTTATACATACTTGGGTACTTAAGGTTTTCACACAGTTTACAAGGCCAGCTCTCATTTTTTAAGATTCTTCTCTGTCTGTGTTTCATCATATTGAATAGCTTTGATAGTTGTGTTTTCAATTTCACTTATCTTTTTTCCTTCAATGTTTAATCCTCTTTTAATACCATCAGATTTTTTTTTTTCATCTTAGACATGATTTTCATCTCTAGAAATTCCATTTGGGTTTGTCTTACATGTTTCTTTAGGCTACTTTAAATTGTTGAACATATTAGGATATGGTTATAATAACTGCCTTATGTCCTTTGCTGTTAATTCTAACATCTCTCTCTGTCTGGGTTAGTTTCAGTTGACTGATTTTTTTCTTCTTCCGTATGGGTTATGTTTTCCTGCTTCTCTCTATGCCTGATTAATCCTTGATTAACATTGTGGGTTACCAAGTCATACTGCTGAGTATTTTTGTATTCCTGTGAGTCTTTTTGTGCTTTTTCTGGGATGCTGGTAAATGACTTGGAAACCATTTGGTCCTTTTGGGGTCTGACTTTTATGATTTGTTACATTGGTTCACAGCAGTGCTCACTCTGGGGTGGATACTTTCCCAGAGCCTAGTCAAGACTTTCAGAACCCTCCCCTACACCCCTCCACAACTTAAGAATTTTTCTGAATAGTCGTGTGAGCATCGGGCAGTGTTCCCTCAATCCTCTTAGATGTTTTCCTGCCCACCATAGGTCGTTTCCTTACATACACTCGTGTTGATGATCCGTTCTGATTCTCACAAGACCTGGTGGCGACCTTTCCAGGGTCCTGGCCCTGATATGAACATCCACTCATTTTGTTTCCATTTCAGCGTTCTGAGCTGTGCTCAATTTTCTCAAATACTACATTGGCTTCTTCATTTGGGTTGTGAGATGTAGTGATTTGTATCTATATTTAAATAAGTTATATTTTCAGTATTTGTTTTCTCCAATAATTTTTTTAAAAGGCGTTATTTTTTCTCTTCCTCTCTTTAAAAAGGCAATGTTTGTTGATTGGGGAAAGGTGTTCAGACAAGAATGGCCAGTGAAATGTAAATCCTGACCTCTAGTCACTACTATTAGTGTCCACAATGTGCTTCCAGTGGAACTCTACAGAGACATGAGTGAATGAATATTTACCAGTAGCAAGCATACAAGCTGTCTCCTTTCATCACATTCGTATGTTTTCAAGAATGTTACCAATTAGCATACAGAACTACTGCACTGTGCTTGAATAGCTGCAGTATTCCATTGCAACATGTATTTAATCTGTGTCCTGTTCATGGTGATTTTTAATCATTTGCTGCCACACATTGTTGCCATTTTTTGTAAGTTTGCAAGTAATCATGTGCTTTGGGAGGAGGGGCAAGGAGAGAGTTGATTTCATTTGTTTTTAGTTTGAACTATTCTTTTACTAATTTCTGATTTTATTGCATTATAGTTTGATTTTGTTCTTGTTAGAATTTCCTAAAATTCTTGACATCTAGTCTATTTTCGTGAAGATTGCTAAAAGACTGTATATTCTGCTTCCTGAGTACAGTGGTCTCTATCACAGTTGTTGTTGAGTGCTGTCAAGTCGATTCTGACCCATGGCGACCCTGTATAGGGTTTCCAAGGAGTAGCTGGTGAGCTTGAACCACAGACCTTGCAGTTCAAACGACTTTGCAGTCTGATGCATTAGCCCACAGCACCACACCAGGACTCCACTAAGCCTTACTTAATCCTCATTTCATTAATTCTTGACCTACTTTCTGAGAAGGTTGTCTTTGCCTTCCATTATATTAGCATTTATGCTTGTGTTTCTACTTTCACCTTCTGTTGTTTACAAGCTTTATTGTGAAATACATAATGATTTATGACTTAATTGGTGGGAAATTTCCATCTTTGTCCTTTTAATGCTTGTCATCTGGCGTTCCATTCTGTCTAAGATTCTCCCTCTGTGTTAACATTTCCTGGCATATCCCCCCCCAATCTTTTATTTTTAACCAAGATTCTTGAATTCATCAATCATTTAGTTTGGAGTCTTTTTCTATATAACAACTTTTATTAAATTTTTAACCCAAATCTTGAGGTCACTGAGCTAATAGAATTTGATCCTTTCACAAGAATTGTAATTTATCACCTCCCCTTCACCCATCCCATATTTTCTACTTATGCTATTATGGTAAAAAAAAAAAAAACACCATACAAGTTTTTTTTGGTTTTTTTAATGTTATTGTGATTTATGTGATAGTTTACATGGGAGAACATTATTAGCTTATCGTATATATCGTTTCATTGCCATGGTTACAATCCCCTCCATGCATCATCAACAAGTTTTGACCATATCTGGTTGAGGCCCATCCCTCAGATCAGTGTCATCTGAGCCCCTCCCACATCTCTGACAGTCCCAGGTATCTCTCCTCTCTAACAGGTCCTCTCAATCATACCCACAAGCCAGCTGCATGAGTGGATCTGAGGAGCACAGGTTGGATTCTGAACAAAGAAACAGAAGATGCCAAGTTGATCCAATAAGACTTATCAGGGCACTTATACACAAGTCTACACCAAGATTCTTGCAACAAATAGAGGCAGAAAGAGTCAGGTTGATTAGATTGAACTTTACTATGGAGCTTACAGATAAAGGCACCAAAATCCTCATGACAGACAGTGACATAGAGGTCTGTGAGAAGCATTGTCTGTACTGACAAACGCTCAAACAATCCAATCTGTACTCATTTTAGCAAGAGTGAGGTTTTCTTTATTCGATTTTGCAAAATCAGGCATAGACAAGGGCAGATGCGCCACATGCCCTGCCACAAATGGTTTTTATGTTGTTGCTATGTGCCGTGGAGTCGGTTCCAACTCATAGCGACCCTGTACAGGGTTTCCAAGGCTGTAAATCTGTATGAGAACAGGAAGCTTCATCTTTCTCCCACAACACAGGTGGTAGTTTTGAACTGCTGACCTTGTGGTTCGCAGCCCAATTCGTAACCACTCAGCTACCAGAGCTCCTTCAAATGGTTTTTATACTTGTCTCCAGAAAGCCCCTCCTTCAGTTCCAGTTCCCCATATACATTTCTATGGCATGTCCCATTTTCCCTCCCCGCCATTGTCTTAATGGCTGTATTCATATTTAAATTTCCTAGTCCTGGAACAGCCAGGTTACATATCCCTCTCTTGTAAGTAAATCAACAATCTGTTTGTCAGGCCTAGCAATCACATGAATTCCTGAAGATGGACCCCGCCCACCAGAGTGATTTTTCACAGGTGCAGTGGGCTAAGACCCTCTCCCTGTGTTGGGCAGAGTCTGACCCAACAGTCCGCGTCCATTCATTTGGCCTTCCTGCTGGTTGAGAAGGTTGATTGTCCTCTCTTTGATTTTGTGGTAGATGTTAGGAGCCACTCTTGCACATGTGGTGCTTTTAGCAGTGCATCTAACCAGTGTCAGTCTCCTCTCCCTAAAGAAAGGGAGTGCTTCCTACCTATCACCAGCAGAGCACTGTTCTGAGACACTCATAGTACTGAACTTGGAACTCACAGCATTACTTCTTGTGGTCAAGTTGGCATGAGAAACCGTTTGCCCAAAACCAAACCAGGAGTGATGCAAGATGGGGATTAGCACATTCCAAGGTTTTCGTTCTTGTCCTTTCTAACTCTATTTATCTGCTTTATTTTCCTTTTTACTATGTTTCCCTTTTATTGTCATCTTGTATGTCTTTCTCCTGTGTTCTTTGGTTTCTTTGTTCTCCTTGAACTGCTTGCTTTTTGCCCTGGGGTTTTTTAAGTATGTATACCTCGTTTCCACTGAAACCTAGTTAGACCTAGACCTTGTTCCCATGGGCTGAGCTTTGTCTGAGGCAAATCCCTCCTGAGCATCTTGATGATAGGTCAGAGAAGCAGGCATCACTGGTTGAGTGCTGTCATGTTTTCTCTCTGCAAGAACACATGCCAATAAAAACAACTCTGTATTCTGCCAGGAGCAGTCGTCACAATCACGGCACCAGTGAACATGAATGTGGACAGCCTCCAGTCTCTGACCTCGGACGGGGCCACCCTTGCAGTGCAACAGGTCATGATGGCAGGCCAGAGCGAGGATGAGTCTGTGGACAGCACGGAGGATGATGGGAGCGAGCTCACTACCACCCACATCAGCGGGCTGGTCTTGGAGAACAGCGACTCCCTGCAGTAGGGCAGGAGGGGGCACCGCAGCCAGGACAAGGAGCTGACTCACCTGACTTTTTATAGTTTGCACAGCAAACATTTTACACAAGTTTTATTTCTAATATGTTTTATATGTAGATATAGAAGAGTGCACTTTTGTATTTCATAGTAAGCTTAAAGAGTGTCTTTGCTGGTGCAGCGACTTCTTTCAAATGTGTGTGTATGAATGTGAGTGCGTGCGTGCGTGCGTGCGTGAGTGTGTGTGTGTGTTTAATTTTAAGAAAATACATGAAAGATTTAACTCTAGCGGTGAATGAGACACCCTGGGCTCTGATTAGATTAAGGAAGAGTGCTGCCACATCCAACAGTTTTGCCACCCGGCCTGGGCCCTTGCTGACCACAGTCCTCCAGCCGGGCTGACCTGGGTGCCCATGTGTTTGAAAGAAGCTCTTGCACATGAACTGCCAGCGTGAGGTGGACGGCATCCCAGAAACAAACAGCGCACGAGCTCATGGGGAATGGATGGCAGTTGGCATAAGTTTAATTTCTCTTGCATTCACTGAGCCTGTTTCCTTTGCTATATATGAAAAGAAACGCCTATTTTTACCTTGCTGGAATTATTGGATAAAAAGCTATTTTTGTAAATTCATTATGAATTGGATTATGACTATATTGAGGATAAAATTTCTAGAGAAGCAACACTACATGTGTAGTACTTCAATTTGGGATGTTCTGCATAGTACTTCAAATTGGACCAAATTCAATGGACCTGCCTAAAGTTAGCTAGCATTCCACAGTTCTCTGCTGTCCCTGGGCAGTAATTTGCATTTACTGCCAAAAAAGAAACAACTCTTGGATGCAGTCGCAGTTTCTCCCAATTTCAGTTTGTATGCAGTGCTCAGATTGTGACTTTCACTTGTTCTAAATATGTATCTAAAGGTATTTGCTAATAGGACTTCAGGTAAGGTAAGTGAAAATGGTAGCCAGTAACCAGTTATAAAAGCTCTTACCATTCATAATCTTTCCATCTAATTTAAATCTGACCACAGTTAAATGGTATTCTTTACCATTTAGTAGCTGTGCATTGTTTTAGAATTTTTAATCAATCATATGTTATGTATAGAATGTTTATTATCAACTAATAAGAAATGTCCTCTATCCCACTGGCTCAGAGCTGGGGTACATAACTAATGTCCCAACTATTACACAATTGCAGATGCCCACTAAGTGACAAGGGTGAATTGAATAGTAATAATGGGGGGATGAACACCCTGCTCCTCTTGGCTTTGGTGTCAATATTTTCTTGTACTTTTTCTTTGGAATTTCCAGGCTGCTCCCCTTTGACTTGACCACATGGGATTTGAAATAATCTCACAACTTTGTTTTCATGGTCACAAGACAAACTAAGATTGCTGGGCTTTGTTTTCTTTAGTTTTGGTTTGTTTTTGTTTACTTGGAAGTAGAGCTTTTCTCTGAGAGAAAACAGTTACCCTCATCTCCTAGAGAATTTTCTCATGTAACCTCCAGTGGAAGGCCCAAACTTCCTTTTCTTTGGAAATGACAACTTGATGGCTGGGAAGGCCATCAGATTTTTGAGATTCAAAATAGCAATTGGTTATTGGACCAACTTTATATTGAAAGAGTACTTTGGGCTAGCATACTTTCTCCACCACCCCTCCAAAAAAAAAAAAAAAAACACATATTAATTAAAATTAGTCACATGACATTTAGTACATCATAGATAACTTAGAAGGCAGCAAGAAATACATTCAAATTTTGGGAGCTCTAACTAAAAGAAACACTTGTTTATAAGTAATTCTTTGGGGGAAGAATAACATTTTAAGTAGTTACTGCATTCCTTATTTGTAACATTTTTAATGTTTTAAGTCAGGCCTACACAAGTTTAAACATCATTTTTCATTTTAACTTCACTTGAATTCTAACTTTGCTAGACTTCTTAAAACTAGATACTGTGGGTGCCAGCCAGCCCTCCCATCCTCTTCTCTCTCCTTGCTCCCTCTGTCCCGTTAACTGCTCGCCCTGCCCTCTTGTTTAAATGAATGACCACATGACCAGAGCAGGTCCTCATGTACAGGCAGTTGTTTCACCCCTACCAGAAATCATGTTCATAGTTGATGGATTGCTGTTTCCAAAGGCTTGCCTGGTGGCAGTAGTGTGGAGACGCCAGCAGGAAGCCCCCTGTTGAATGACAGGCATGTTGCTGGGGACAGCTGACATCAGCCTCTTGATGTGTTGGTTCGTTCTTGCTAAATTCAGAGGACTAGGAGAAAGATCACTTAAGGAAGGCGCTGCCGATGAAGAACTAGGTGCTTTAAGTAAGCCTTGCTGGCAAGTGATTTTGATTTATGAAACTGTTACCAGCATGCTTGCTGTCAGGTTTGCGCCTTAAAGACATTGGTTTTTCCAGTCCTCAGACAGTGAAGAGAATTTGTGAAAGTGCATTTCCATTGAACTTGCATTTTTAAATAATCAAATTAAATCCCAGCTTTGTTCTTGTTAAATTGTTTCCTTATGAAGGATCCTATTGAATGTGTCTCAAGACCCATGTTAAGCATGTTGCTATTTTTTATTCTGTTCAACTGCTGAGCAGACAGCTAGACTAGCTAGAGAAGCTCCAGCTAGCTGATGGATTAACTCATCTTTTGATTTGCTGATTCCAGACAATACAATCATTTAAATATTTATCCAGTATGCAAAGTAAAGTAAGCAAGCAGCATGCTCACAGACTGCAAAGTAATCTTGCGAAAACATTACACCTAAGGGTTCTGTGCATTTCTGTGTCATCTGTTGAATGATATGTTTCTTATGCATTGGAGCACTTTTTCCTTTTCAGTGAACTCCACGTAAAATAATCTACCCAAGTTGTGAAAGGCCGTCCCTGGCAGTAAGTGACGAAAATAATTCCGCAATCTTCCTTTGTTTTAGTTGCATTTGGTCAATGAAACTGACAATCTTTAAAATGTGAATACTGTAATAATTTGTTTTCTTGGATTGTTGTCTTTTAAAGGGTTTTTTTGTGAAGCAATTGATTTATCAAAGCAAAAAAAAATTAAAAATAGAAACATGCTTTATGGATGTTGTATTTTATGAAACTCCTATGTCATGAAAAGTGCTTGTTTTCTCTGATGAGTAAAATTTCCAGCGTGCTTGTGTGCTTTGTCAGGTGACACATAGGGTTTGCCTGACACCTGTACATTTTAAAAACTAGGATTACAGGGACATTGGGAAATCCAAGTCCATGTTGATACTGATTACTTCAGTTGAGCTTTGGTTTAAAGGAAAAATTGGGAACAATTTTATTTTGTTTTTCATTGTAGTTTTCCATTAGTGCAATTGAAGAAAATGATTCATCATCAGGTAGCATATGTCATTCAGAGTTAACATTGTAAACTCACCTGACAAAGCAGATCCTGGACACATTGTAAAGGTGTATCGGAAATATTTCAAGTTTTTGTTTTCTTTATACTACACTGTGCTACACCTCCCCAAGCTGTTTCTGCTTTGAAACTGTAGTAAGTCAGCAGACTAGCATTCATCATAAATAGTGACACTTGCTGGGGTAAAAGTGTCAGCTGTGTGGAGTACTGAGACAGGAAGGGTTGCAATAGGCTTACAGAAAATGGAGCCACCATGTGTGTACCCCATTCCTATAGGTCATGGGGTGAGAAGACCGTGCACAGGTCACTGGCTTGATGGCCTCTTGTCTTAGTCCCTAGAGTTTCTAAACATCAGGTGGCAATTCATTGTATGATGGAAATTGTACAGGTTTAGATCTTTTACCTTCATTAAGAGCCCTGGTGTGTGTGCTTATGGATAGGAAGATGTGAAAATGTCCACTACCCAAAACATATAATGCAATCCCAATCCAGATTCCATCATCATTCTTTAAAGAAATGGAAAAACTGATCTTTAACTTGATGGAAAGGAGAGATCTCAGATAAGCAAAGTATTACTTGAGAAGAACAAAGTTGGCAGCTTCTCATTTCCTGATTTATACAACCAGTGGTCAAAACAGCCTGGTACTGATATAAAGAAAGATCCATAGATCAATGGAACAGAATTGAAAACCCACAAGTAAATCATCCACACACAATCAGCTGATCTTTGATATAGAGCCAAAAAACAGTAAATGGGGAAAAGATAGACTCTTCAACAAATAATGCTGTCAAAACTGGAAGTTAATTTGCAGAAGAATGAAGCCATATCTCACACCATATGCAAAAACAAATTCAACATGGATGAAAGACCTAAATGTAAACCGTAGAACTATATAAAGGTCATCAGTGAAAAAATAGGGACAAACTTACGGGTTCTAATTCATTGCATAAATACATTATCAAAATACACAGTAGAAAACAAAATAGACTGGGACCCCCTAAGAATTAGACACTTAATGTGCATCAAAAGATTTCACAAACAGAGAGTCCATAGACTGGCAAACAATATTTTGCAACAGCAGATAAGAGACCAATCTCTAAAATTTATAGAAAAGTACATCTTTAAAAGAAAAGAACCCAATTAAAAAATGGGCAGTGGACATGAACAGACACTTCACCAAGGAAGCCATCCAGGCAGCCAACATAGGAAGAAATGTTCGTGACTGTTAGGCATTAAAGAGATGCAAATCAAAACAACAATGAGTTGTCATCTTACCTCAGTATTAATAGCAAAGTTCGTAAAACCAGAAAACAACAAATGCTGTCAAGGGTGTGGAGAGGTTGGGACCCTCCTACTTTGCTGGTGGAACTCTAAAATGGTTCAACTACTCTGGAAAATGGTACGGTGCTTCCTCGGAAAACTGGAAAAAGAAATACCATATAACCCAGCAATCCCCTACTTGTTATATAGCCACAAGAAATAAAAGCCAGGACACGAGTAGATAACAGTGAACATGCAAAATACCTCATAAAATGGATGAACCTGGAGGACATTAAGCTGAATGAAATTCAGTCAAATCACAAAAGGACAAATATATGAGACAACTATTGTAAAAATTCAAGAAAAGGTTTCATGCTAAAAGAAACATTCTTTGATGGCTACCAGGTTTGGGAGGGAAGGGAGAGTAATTCACTGGCTAGAGGGTCGACAGTTAATTCGGGTGCAGGGGAGGGCAATATACAAGAAGAGGGAGGTTGGCAGAATGAG